TTGACCATTCTACATGTGTCACTAGGGCTACAAACACACACACACAAGTAAAACCACTAAGCATTCCAACATATTGCTCAGTATATCAGGAGGCACAGACTTCACATCTGGAGTTGCTTACCTGAGAAACCTAAATCTCAGTATCAATCAAAGTTTCAAGTACTTTGTACAATAAAATTAGCAATGCAAATGTCAAAATTACCTCTGTCTTGAGTTAACTGGAATAAGCAAAATAAAGAACATATGGAAAATATGACTTCAGGCATAATTTTGCAAATTTAGAGAAATTAAATAAAATTTGAATTGAATAAAGAAGCAAAAATCTTTTCTTCTTCAGAAAGGTTGAAAGCTCAGGTTCAATGGGTTATGAATGTGTGTAACTGATACCCTAATTTGACAGCTATTCAGTTTGGAGGTAGAAACTAGCATCTGTGCATGGACAAAGTATATGCACATTTGCTGGTACAACAGTTTATACTATGTGATGTAAGTGTTTAAAATGTTAAGACTAAGCCTTTCATCCTTTAATCATGCAAGGGATACACTATATATATATGTGTGTGTATATGTATAGTGTTGTTGTTGAGTGCCATCGAGTCAGTTCTGAGCCATAGTGACCCATATATATATATGGAGCTCTGGTAGCCTAGTGGCTATGAATCGGGCTGCGAACCTAAAGGTAAGCAGTTCGAAACTACCAGCTGCTCTGCGGGAGAATGATGAGGCTTTCTGCTCCCGTAAAGATTCACAGCCTCGGAAACCCTGTACGGGTCGTCAGAACCAACTCGACGGCACTTAACAACAACAACAATATATATATATATATATGTACATATGCAATTCACATTTGAGAAACCTTAACAATTTTCCAGAGAATATCAGATTATTTTATTAATCGAATACTCTTTAAATTAGTTTATATACTACTTACTGAGATATTTATTTTTTATTCTCTCTTGAAACTAATTTTAAGTATGGACCTTTAAAACTAAAAGGCTATAAAGAAAAGGAAATATAAGAAATACATTCAACAAAATTAATCTATTGATCATGTTGTTGTGTTCACAGCTGTTGAGTCCGTTCTGACTCACTGCCACCCTGTAAAGGATTTCAAAGGAGTGGCAGGTGAGTTTGAATTGCTTATCTTGCAGTTGGTAGTCCAGAGCTTATTCTACACTAGGACACCAGGACTATGTTTACCTTGTTGTTGTTGTTGTTAAGTGCAGTTGAGTCTATTCTGACCCATAGTGACCCTGTATAGGGTTCCCAAGGAGCAGCTGGTGTTTACTTTAGTTATCATGAAATTCATGTAAATGTCATTGTAAATGTAAATACATCATATTTAAGTGATAAGTCTATTAAATGGTGGTGCTGTTAAGTGCCTTTGAGTCAATTCTGACTCATAGTGACCCTGTATAGGGTATCCAAGGAGGGGCTGGTAGATTTGAACCATCAACCCTGCAGCTAGCAGTTCAGTACTTACCCTATAGCACTACACCAGGACTCCCTACTAAATGGAAACTACAATATAATCACCCTGATTTTGGTGCCCATGGAGATGTCCTAGAAATGCGTAACAGTGACGGAACCTGTTGTTGTTGAATGCCGTCAAGTTGGTTCCAACCCATAGCAACCCTGCATAGTGTTTCCGCAGAGCAGCTGGTAAGCTTGAACTGCTGACCTTGCGGTTCAAACCAACTTTGCAATCCAGCGCATTAACCCACAGCACAGACCAGGACTCCAGACAGAACCTAAGGAGTACTTAATCTACTCTCAATGTGTAGTTCAAGGAGTCCTGGTCTGGCACTGTGGGTTAATGCACTGGACTGCAAAGATGGTTTGTTTCACAAGGTTGGAGGTTCAAGCTCACCAGCTGCTCCTTGGAAACCCTACACAGGGTCACTATTGGTCAGAACCAACTCAATGGCACTTAACAACCACAAAAACAAATGTGTAGTTCTGGTGTGGTGCTGTGGGATAACAACTGGACCCCAAGGTCGATTTGAACAAAAAATTGGGAGTTCAAACCCATCAGCTGCTCCTTGGAAACACAGATCACTATGAATCTGAATTAACTCAGGGACACTTAATGTAGTATGGCATGAAAGAACTACAGTAATTTATGCAAATAACAGAGGCCTACAGTGTTTTATGCAAATAACACATGCCACTTTGCTTGTTTTCCAATTTGCTCCCTCATCCCTGGAGGTAATTTTGTAAATGTGCTATGCTAATCTTTTTACAACAATGTGGGGGTGGAAAGCTGACACAGTGGCACTTAAGAAAATACCTGGGGGGAGAGGGCGGGGCCCACAGGGAGAATCAGGGCCACTGGGAGAATCTGTTGGCAAACAAACATATAGGGCATGTTATTTGCATAAAAACAGAGTACACTTCAAAATGACACTGGATTTCAAAATTACCAACTGTTTTTAAGTGCCTTTGTGTCTGTCCCAAATCATAGTGACCCTGTATAGGATTTCCAAGGAAAGGCTGGTGAGTTTGAACTGCTGACCTTGTGGTTCCAACTAACCTTATGGTCCAGTGCTTTAGCCCACAGCACCACACCAAGACTCCAGTAACAAACTATAGGATATTATATACAGCAGTCTATTCTTCTCAATGGATAATTAAATGGTGTACCAGATAGTCTGTGCATAGGCAGAAAAACTGTAAAGATAGGAAATAATCTTTTTTATGATTACAGTATATGGGTTTTCTAAATACTATTAAAGGGTTCTGATAGCACTGTAAGATAAGCGCTGGACTGCTAACCCCAATGTCATCAATTCAAACCATCAGCTAGCTGCTCCACAGGAGAAAAAAATTAGGCTTTCTGCTCTTAGAAAGATTTACAGCCTCAGAAGCCAGTAGGGTAACTATGAGTCAGAACCCACTACATGGCGGTGAGTGGGGGGTTTGTGTGTGTGTGTGTGTGTGTGTGTGTGT